AAACCCCTTTAGCAGGAGGAAGTTCCCCTTTTATGGGATTCCCAAAATCCCCCAGGGGGTTTCGCTTTTGGTAATGGAAAACCTTGTTCGGGGAAAACCCGGGGGTGTTCCTTCCGGGTTTTGTGGGGTTGGGGGGTAAAGGTTAAAAGGATTCGGGCAGCCAGGATTTGGGGTACCCCCCCCCCCCCCACCCCTCACCCGACTCGCGAAATATCTCACGGCGCTTCGCGCTTGGTGATGTGAGAGCCTGGTCCGGTGAGAACCCGGCGTTTTCCGTTTCGGCTTGTAGGGATGCGAGGTCAATGGTCTAACGACTACAGCATGCACGATTATGAGTACACCCCCCCCCCCCCCCTAGAGCCTGGTCCGGTGAGAACTCGGCGTGCTCCGTCCCGGCTTTGTAGGGATGCGAGGTCAATGGTTTTTCTCGATGCTTTCGAAATTTGTTTGGCCGATCGCGTGGAGGTACGTTTTCGCTCGTCCAAAGAGGACCAGTTTCGGAAAGGGGCGGTTTGCACGCGCACACGGCAAGGTCCGTGCTGTGGGGTTGACCGAGGGGGTGGTGCAGTGGATGTCATGGTGGAGCTGCTTTCTCTGTATACCTTTCTGCCTTCGCATGCGCCTCTCGTGGCTTTCGGTGTTGGTCGGGGCCAGTGGGCCATGTGGACTAAGTGTCAAGCTACTGTGGCCCTTCGCCAAGTGGTTGCGTTGGCGGGTTTGCAGCCCGAGGAGTACGCGCTGCACTCCCTTCGAATTGGGGGCGCAACTTTCTTGGCGGCGCGTGGTGCATCGCCGGGGGTTCTTCGTAGAGAAGGGCGATGGTCGGGGAGAGTAGTTACCAGTGTTACGTTCGGAATGTTGGGGGTGATGCTTCGTGGGTGTCAGAGGTGTTGGCGAACAAGGAGAAGGTGACTACACAGCCAGGGCAGGGTACCCGATGGGGTGACGTGTGAATGGGTTCTGTGGCGCGTGGTGTATGTCGAGGTCCTTGTTGTACCGATGGTATTTTGCTGCACATCGTGTATGCCGTATATTTTGTATGTGGTACATATAGTTTGTTTTGCATATATGGTATGCGGTATGTATATGTTGTGCATGGTTTGCCAAAATAAAAGGGGGGGGGGGATCAGTATGGCGCGCCAGCCTTAGGTTTGGGGGCAGACAGAGTTTATATATTTCTGTCTGTTGGGTGGCTGATGTTTATACTGATCGTAAGGAGTAGAACGGGGGCGTGTGTGGTGTTGCCCTGCCTGGTCTCCGCTCTTTTCCCCTCCCCCTTGGCGAGCAAAGGGGGTACGCAAAATAATGAAAGGAAATGGGACAAGCACCTCGGAACCGCGCCAGCATAGGCACACGCGACCCCGACTGCGGCTACACAGTGAATCCCCTCGACAGGCAATCACGTTGGACACAACGCCGCCGCTCCGATTTCCATGTCCACTGACACCCCCAAAAGCAAGGGTGGGTGGGTGGGAAAAAGAAACGTCACGGCAGAAACAACCCTTGGCCACCACAAGCACACACACGTGCTCTCGCTCGCCCCCGGTAAACACGGCGAAGCGAGTATATACTGAAAACAGGAACCAACACGCTCGTCCGCTTCCTGCTTTCTGATTGGCCAACGGTTTATTTCTGCCGCTTCTCACAAAACGCAGATTTCCCTTACTTCGTCAGTCAATCTTTCGCCTAGCGACTACGGCATGCACGACTATGAGTACCCCCCCCCCCCCCCCCCCCACCCCGTTTTAAAACAAAAAACCCTTAAATGGGGGGGGGCACAAAAGTTTAGCCCCCCGGGGGGGGGCGAAGCCCTCCCCCGGGGCAAAGGGCCCGGGGAGAAGGGGGAAAACTTGG